TTAAGCACACCTCAATCTTTTGAACCCTTCTCTCGTTAATGCCTCCTTCAAAAAGTGTTGAATCTGCAATCTCCATAACTCGCTCAGGGAAAGCCATTTTAACAAAAGTATGAAGGTTTAGGTCCCCATTAAACATGTCGTCGGTGGGTCGCTTTCCTGCGAACATCTCTAACAGAAGAATACCAAAGCTGTAGACATCTCCATTTGTTGACACCTCACTTCCCATACCGTACTCTACCATTGAAACATCATAAGATATTATCAGCACAATTGTTAGTAAAATAGCTAAACTTTGTAAGATTTAAAAAGAAAAAAAGGACACCATTTACCTGGAGCAGCATAACCAACTGTTCCTTTTATTCCCATGGACCTTGTTTGATTTTCTGAAGCATTAGTACCAGTTTTTTGGGAGAGAAATCTTGCGAGTCCAAAGTCAGAAACATGTCCAGTGATCTCGTTGTCCAAAAGAACATTGCTTGGCTTGAGATCACAATGAACTATCGGTGTTTCGCAATGATTATGAAGATAATCCAATGCACAAGCAACATCAATGGCAATGTCTAGTCTTTTCTCTAGATTGAGTGCCTCTCTCACATTCGGATATGAAACTCTTCGATGCTCCATGCCGCAACAAGTTGAACACCTTCACAGCAACAAGCTGGGCTTTACCATCATCATAAAGAACTCCTCTGTACACAGACCCAAAACTGCCTGCACCAATCCCATTAGCGGAAGAGAACTCATCAGTAGCTTTTAGGAGAGTAGCATATGACACTCGCACAACAGAGTTCGGCAATGTGCTCAATGGAATTTCTTTCCTTTTCTTTCTCGACGAACAAAGAAAGAAATAGTAACACTCCATAGCAATTCCTAGAAGAGCAAGTCCAGAGAGTACTAAACGGATTATCAAGCTACGAGATGATCCTCCCTTTGGGGACTCGCACTTGGGCAATTGGAGATTAGCAATTCCGCCGCAGAGCATGGCGTTGCCAGTAATTAAAATCACACTTGCATTTTTAAAAGCACCACTAGTTGGTACTGCTCCCCAAAATTCATTGAAAGATAGGTCTAGTTTCTTCAATAAGACAACGCTCTAGAAATTTTGGAATTTCACCCGACAAATTGTTGCGAGAAAGGTCTAATTCTTCTATGGCTTTCAACCCAATCATAGATGAGGGAATAGGGCCACTAAATGAGTTGCTGTGTAGAGATAGTACCTGCAGTCTACGCAAATTCCCAATTTCTGGAGGGATTTTACTGCTGAAGCTGTTGTTTTGTAGTTCTAGTTCCCTTAGGAAACTTAGATTTCCTATGTTTGGAGATAGGGACCCTGGCAGGTTTTGAGATTGCATGTTCAGCTTTGTGACCCTCTGCCTCTGGCGATGGTGTTGACCGCAGGAGACACCGTGCCACGAGCAAAAGTGAATGGATTCATTCCAGGAGCTCAATACATTATAAGGATCTAGCTTTATTTGAGCTTTGATGGCTAGCAGTGCAAGCCTATCCGTCTCGTTGCCTCCCATTCTCAGATGCATGGAGCAAACGAATAATGCTCCATTCACAAGTGAGTATATTAATAAAATCCGTTTCATAACCAAAACCCCCATTTTGAGTTTGATTATGATCAGCCATGGCAAACTGGTTTATAATTAAGATTGAGTAATGCGCTTAACCAAGTCCTGGTCATTACGATCAGCCACGGTTGACTTGCTTTCCAAAGACACAAAACTTTGACTTGCTTCCATTAGTCACTTGCAAAGAATTAGCCATACATTTTCATCAAAAAAGAATTACCCATACATCACGCAGACGCTGTCATTGGATTGGAAGCTGATGGGGGCCTCACTCTCTCAATCACCCCAATGACTGTTTTTTGGTCGGAATCACCCCATGACTTTGATTATCTAAACGTAAAACATGCAATCTACGGAAAATGCCAAATTAGTCCTTGTTGACTTGCTTTTCCAAATTGAGACGACTTCATTTCCTTCGAATACTGTTGTTCTCGCAACCACTGTTTGTTGTACTTGTATGGTTGTTAAAATGACAATTACAAAATTGACCCCAGGAAGCTGAGTGGAAACAGCCCCAGCAACAATACATTTGGCCCAACGTGTGGTGGAAGAAATACGTACGTTGATAAAGACTTTATGAAAATACGAATACATATCTGATGATAACATGTGGATATGACATAAGTCTGTAGAAGAAAGATGAAAAGTCTTCAACCGGGGTGAAAATTTTGGACTGGAGCAGATTTGCGACTTGCAATGACTTTGTGCTTTTCTTCTCGACTTTTAAAGTCAGCTTTCTTTAAAAAAAATAATTAAAAAAATAATTTTTTTTTGTGCTTTAGACTTTCAGCAATTTGTTCTTCAAAATAAAAATCTCAACAATCTGTTGACGTGAGTCTCCTAATTAATCAAGGAGAATTATTTCCTTGATTAATTAAGGGATTTACTTTCCCATTCCATGTAGT